CTCCAATTCGGAGTCAGCGTAGCCCCAGGGGTATTTCAAAGCCTAATGGAGAGGCTCCTCCGGGGCATAAAAGGGGTAGCACCCTATTTTGACGACGTGTTGGTAGCCGCGGCCGACCAGAAACAATTGGAGGGCCGCCTAAGGGAAGTACTGCAAAGATTCCAAAGTGCAGGACTAAAAGTTAAGAGGGAGAAATGCCAACTGCGCACGGCACGGGTCGAATTCCTGGGGTACCTACTAGACCAGCACGGAATCCACCCCACCGAGGGCAAAATAAAAGCCGTCAAAGAAGCCCCGAAACCCAGAAACAAAACTGAGTTACAAGCGTTCCTGGGGTTGATTAATTTCTACAATGTTTTCCTGCCCCAAAAGGCGACCGTGGCGGAACTGTTGCATAGGCTGCTCGACAAGGCAGCCACCTGGATGTGGGGGAGATGAGAAGAGGACGCTTTCAACAAAACCAAGGACCTTCTCACATCGGACACTGTCCTCATCCAGTACAGCGAGACACTCCCCATCACGGTAACGTGCGACGCATCACCCTTTGGCATAGGAGCCGTCCTCAGCCACACCCTCGCCGACCGGAAAGAAGCACCCATCACCTTTTTCTCAAGGACCCTTTCAAAACCCGAAAGAAACTACAGCCAATTGGACAAAGAGGCCCTAGCAATCGTCGCAGCCGTAAAGAAATTCCACGAATACCTTTACGGCAGGACCTTCTCCATAATCACGGACCACAAACCGCTGCTGGGAATACTGGCGGGAGACCGGGCCACCCCAATCATCCTCTCCCCAAGGATGACAAGGTGGTCCGAATTTCTCGCCGCCTACAATTACCGGCTAATCCACCGCCCCGGTAAGTCAATCCCGCACGCGGATGCCCTCAGCCGCACACCATTGCCCACCCTGGACGCTGACCCAGCACCCACCACATCCACCCTGAGCATCGAGACCTTACCCAACCTACCCCTGACCGCGTCAGACATTGCCCTAGCAACCAATAAAGACAAACGTCTGGCGCAGGTCCTAAGATGGGTGGGAAAAGGGTGGCCGGAGAAGGACGTGGACAACGAGTTCAAAGCTTACCGGAACCGACAAACAGAGCTATCAACGCAGAAAGGCTGTCTACTGTGGGGGGATAGAGTCATAGTCCCAGAAAAATTGCAAAAGGAAGTCCTGAGCATGCTGCACGAAGGGCACCCCGGCATCGTTAGGACAAAAGCCCTGGCCAGAAGTCACGCCTGGTGGCCAGGGATGGACAAGGAGATCGAAGCCTGGGTGGCCTCCTGCAAGCAGTGCCAGGAATCAAGACCAAACCCCCCCGCCGCCCCGATCCAGGAATGGGAAACCCCTCGGGGGCCATGGTCCCGAATCCACGTAGATTTCGCGGGACCAACCAGAGGACACACCTTCCTGGTAACCGTAGACGCTTACTCCAACTGGCTGGAGGTAAGCAACATGAAGACAACAACCACAGACGCCGTCATCAGAGAACTCAGCAAGCTCTTCCACGGCCTTCCCGATGTCATCGTGTCAGACAACGGCCCCCAGTTCACCGCGCTACCCTTCGAGAAATTCTTGGCAGAACGAGGGATCCAACACGCATTAACGGCACCGGCGCACCCGGCGGCGAACGGAAGGGCGGAGAAAATGGTCCAATTCACAAAAAAGACCATCCAAAAGATCGAAACCGGGGACATACAAGACAAAATAAACCGGATGCTACTAATTCAGCACATAACCCCGAGCACTACGACGAACAAGAGCCCAGCGGAGCTACTAATGGGGAGGAAACTGCGATCACCGCTCGACCACCTGCACCCCACATACAACCCGGAAAGACCCCCCGACTCCACCAGCAAACGCAGAATATTCGCACCAGGAGACAGGGTCTACGCAAAAAACCTTACCGGGGACCCCCTCTGGATACCGGCAACGATCACCCAAGCAACAGGCCCACACTCGTACCGCCTTCAAACTACCGACGGACGACCGTGGAAACGCCACATCGACCAATTGAGAGCAAGAACCACCGCGGGAAATACAACCGACACGCAAATACCAGACACTGAAAGGAACCGGCAAAACACCAACCAAGAGGGGAGGGAAGCCCCCAAAGAACAAAAAGAACAAACCCACCCAAAAAGAAACCAGCAGTACTCACCACCTGAAGAACCGGAGAGCGACCCATTCGAAGCCTCACCTGGAAGGAGCAGCCGAGCCAGCTCAACCGACCCCGGAAGCCCGAGCGGGAGCAGCCAAGCCAGCTCAACCAGCCCGGAAAAGCCGAGCGGGAGCAGCGAAGCCAGCTGCTCGACCAACCCGGAGAGACCAGGAGGGAGCCGCGGCGAGAGGCCTGACTCACCCTTCCAGGCGGTTCCATCAACGAGGCGGAGAGCGACAGGAGTCTCACTCGAACCGGCCGACAGCCAAGAGACAACTGACCAGCGCAAGTCAAGTCGGAAAATACGGAGCCCCGCCTACTTACGGGACTACGTCACGTAGGACCAAACCAAGAGGGGAGGGGTGTTCTGTACGGACATTTGAATACTCGAAATCCGGCAGCCCGGATTGGCTAAAGCGCACGGCCACCGGATTGGCTGAGTGCGCGGCACTGATTGGTCGTTCGGAATCGACCGCGATTGGCTGAGCCGATCGCGGGCGATTCAAAATGACCCGATTGGCCGCAGCACTCAGCAGAAAGTGTTTTAAGCCGCGCTTCTTCCCCACTCGCCCCACTTGTGTTTTACCCTAATAAAAGAGCTGAACCAAGTCACCGACTCGCGTCCTTTGTTCGTATGAGATATACGACAACCGTCAAACTATTTAGTAGGGCTGCATTACTATTAATCCTCCCATCCTTCCTTTCACCTCATTTCCTCCCACTTATGATTGTAACTTTGTTGCTTATATCCTAACAATTTTTATTGACTGTTTCCTAGTATGATTTGATTGCTTATTGTACCCTATGACTATTATTAAGTGTTGTACCTTATGATTCTTGGCGAATGTATCTTTTCTTTGATGTATACTGAGAGCATTTGCACCAAGACAAATTCCTTGTGTTCACACTTGGTCAATAAATAATTCTATTCTATTCTATTCTATTCTATTCTATTCTATTCTATTCTATCCCAAAATTTCTGCTGCTAAGCGAGATATTTGTTAAGTGAGTGTTGCCCTATTTTATGACTTTTCTTGCCACAGTTATTAAGTGAATCACTGCAGTTATTAAATTAAATAATATGGTTGTTAAATGAATCTGGCTTCCCCATTGACTTGGCTTGCCAGAAGGTCAAAAAAAGTGATCATATGATTTCAGGACACTGCAACTATCATAAATATGATCAGTTGCCAAACATCTGAATTTAGATCATGTGACCAATGGTCCTTAGTGTGAAAAATGGTCATAAGTCACTTTTTTTCATCGCCACTGTAACTACGAATAGTCACTAAATGAACTACCGTAAGTCAGGGACTATCTGTAATATACCAATGTAGTCCTTCACAGGTAGTATCTGTTAGGCAGAGTCTGGTTTCAGGATCTAGACAAGAGATTTCCTGAATGTTTCACTAGAAAACAGTGGCTAGCATTCTCAGAGGCAAAGTGGTTCACACTGGGCCTAATATTGCCCCAAATGCTGTATTTTATTATAAACATACAGTTCTGAAACCCAGTGGTCTTCCATACGAGTTGTCTGCTTTAATGATGATTTTCTTCTTAATTTTTTTTTTCTTGCAAGCTATTATTTAGAGCTTAATGTGGAATTTTTGCATGTGATGATTACAGCACAGAAACCCAGAGCTATTTATATATCCGAAATCCAGTCCACTTAGTTGCTCATGAAAACACCCCAGCTGGGTACAAATGCCATTAAAAAAATTTCCCTCGGAAATGCAGACTAAGAAAGTAAAATAGAGGTTGTTTCGGATGTGCCCTTTAAAGCTGAAAAGCTGTTCATACTTATTTCTGTTCGGCCCAACATAATTGCAGGTGGAATCACAGGCAGCCCTTGATTTATAACTGTTAATTTAGTGACTGTTCAAAGTTACAACCGCACTGAAAAAAGTGACTTATGCCCGTTTTTCGCACTTACAACCATTGCAGCCATCCCCAGAGTCATGTGATCAAAATTGAGATGCTTGGCAACTGGTTCATATTTATGACCGGTTGGAGTGTCCTGGGCTCATGTGATCCCCTTTTGCGACCTTCTGATGAGCAAAGTCATTGGGGAAGCCAGATTCACTTAACAACCAGGTTATTATCTTATCAGCTGCAGTGATTCACTTAGCAATTGTGGCGAGAAAAATGAGGCAAAACTCACTTAACAAATGCTTTGCTTTGCAACATAAATGTTGGGCTCAATTGTGATCATAACTAAAGGAGTACCTGTTTTCTGATTCACCATGCATGCATATTGCAAGACTCCCAGCCCAGCCCCTACTGGGCTAGGTTCACTGTGATGGGAAGTGGGGAGTGAATTTCATACCAACAATGTATCTATACCAAGAATGTGATAGAGCAAGTAAGATCACCCCAGCTGTCCAGATAAAATAATCAGGCCCCTAGATTGGGCAATAGCAATATAGGAAGATGCCAGATGATCACTTCAGTAACAACAACTTGTGCAATTTGACCAAGAAAACCACACAGAAACACAGGATTTAGCGATTCTTACTGCAGTGCTAAAAATGCCCTGTGCAAATGAGATGGTACTCAACAGGTTGATGGAAGGCAGAAGCTCTTTCAGAGCAAAATGCAGTTTTGATTAATACATCAATAATGTACACAGTATTAATTGTGTTTGTGATATGCCTAGAGTAAAACCTTTCTGATATGGCCAAGTAAGAACAGAAAATCTGAAGCTGCAAAGAGAGAATTACAACATGGGAGCGCAGAATGTAAGAAGCGTGAACGTGGGAAAACTTGGAACATTGAAATAAATCCATTACAGATTGACATTTTGGGTATCACTAAATTACAATCAATTGAACTGAAGACACACACACCCCTCTCTCCCTCCCTCCCTCTCTCTCCCTTTGACACTCTTAATAATTAATTATTCATTTCCAATTTCTGTATCATTCTTTTAATGCTGGAGTATCATATCAAAAGGCAAGTGTAAGAAATAAGTAAATTCAAAAATAAAATGGTATATAAGATGCTTAAAGCTTTCACAAATGGGGGTTGGGCTGGATGACCTTGTGGGGTCCCTTCCAATTCTATTAATCTGTTATCAAATAAAATATATCTCCCTGTATATACATGCTTTGCTTTTATACTTTTGACATACTCCGTTGTTAAGCCTTTTTATATTTTTTATCTTATGTATATGCCTTTTATATTATTATTATGTTCAGGGGGTGAGGGTTGTTATAATCTCTCTGGAAAAATTGTAGTATATAATGAGCTTAGAAAAAGGCCCTGATGAGGGGATGCTACATTCCTTAACGATAGGGAAAGATGCCGTGGGCAGCCAAAGTAAGCAGTATGGAAGGGTACGGATGAAAACATAACGGAAGGAGACAATTCTCTCTGGAGACATCCTGGGATTAGCTGCAACACCTGAGGGCAAATCCAATGAGCTTGAACTTGGGAGGGAATGAGTCTCAAGAAGAAGGGAACTTGGGTGAGGAGATGAAACTGTATATAAAGTACTTTTTGAGGTTCTGAAGGTGTGGCTTTTGATTTTGAACCTGTTTCTTGAGGTTCTAAAGACCACTGGCGCTTTGGGAACCGTCTAATATTTCTTTTTAATAAATCCTCTTTGTTTTCAATGATCCAAGGTTTTTTGGTTGGGTTTGAGTTATTTCCAACCCAAGGAAACTGTAATTGTTATTCTAGCTAGGTTAAAAAACATACAGAGCAGTTACACAACTTAATTAATGTTCTATCCAGGTCTCAACTGTTTGTTTAGTATATCACGATTGTAGAGTGACTGGAGCTCACTTAGCATGCTAAGCCTTTAACAGATAACAGATAATCAGAGTTGGACGGGACCTTGTAGGTCCATCTAGTCCAACCCCCCACACACACCTAATCAGGAGACCCTACACCAATTCTGACAAATGGCAGTCCAATCTCTTCTTGAAAGTCTCAACTGATGGCGCTCCCACAACTTCCGAGGGCAAGCTGTTCCATTGGTTGATTATTCTCACTGTCAGAAAGTTTCTCCTTATTTCCAGGTTAAATCTCTCCTTGTTCAGTTTCCATCCATTATTCCATGTCTGGCCTTCAGGTGCTTTAGAAAATAGCTTGACCCCTTCCTCTCTGTGGCAGCCCCTCAAATATTGGAAGACTGCTATCATGTCTCCCCTGGTCCTTCTCTTCGCTAGACTAGGCAAGCCCAGTTCCTGAGACTAACCAAGCCCAGTTCCTTTGATCATGGCTTATAAAGCATCATAAATTTTCACTCCTCCTCCCTTTAGGGTAGGTGGTAGAGAGGAAAACTTCCACAGTTCAACTTCTATCTGCTCCAGTTGTGAAAAAGCCTCTTCTGCAGCGATTTAAGCTTAAGCTTGCTGTAGTTCTGAGAAGGTTGTTCCAGTAATTGATCTTAGTAGATCCAAGAAGATCAGTATAAACTGTGTGGAGGCCTACATATTTGACTTTTAGGAGGCCATCGAAACTGGAAAACTGTTTGAACAGGCTGCTACTTCGTCTTTATTTGTAGTTTAAAGGACAATACTAAGATAGTGGTTAAAGGTTAAAAAATAGAGTGCTTGAAGATAATGCTTAACTTTCCTTGAGGAGAAATACAGGGTCAGAAAACTAGGATTTGTTTAACGTACAAGCTGGAAAGAGAAAGGCATTCTCTCATCTAGGCCAAACAATTAAATGAATCTCTGACACATCGGTTTAGAGTAGAAGAGGGTCAATGTTTATTCAGATAAGAGGATTGACCTTTTTTGGTGGAACATAGTCCCAACTGAAGTATGCATGGAATTGCATTTCAGGATTTACACATGTTTCTTCTACAACAAATATCTCTGAATGCATCTGAGTGGTCCCCTCACAGATGCACCTTAGTCATTGGTCTTCATTATAGTAGAATTAGATTAAGATACTAGGATATGTGATGAAGACGAATGAAGGTAAATATATGTGTCCCAGAATAATGTTGTAGGGTCCAATTTGGGTTGTTTTTCAGGACCAGAGGTTTAATCTTCCAACCTTTCGGAGTTGTGCTGGAGGCCATCCTCGTGGGACTTCTCTCTCACCAGAATGTGTCTTGCTATACCATCATTTGCAACCTTCCTATCCTGCCATTGATTTTAGAATCTGGAAGTTGTATTTGTCTGCTAGTTTCCTTACTGTGTTGAATGTTGAAAACTGGCAGAAGTTGCCTCACCTAATGATTCAGTGATGGCAGATAACAGGATTGCAGGGGTGATGCTGTGTTAAGTGATGCAATCTTGTTTTGCAGCTGCGTTGCTTAATGATAAAAAATCCAGTCCCAATTGCCATTATAAGTCAAGGACTTCCTGTAATACAATACATTGAGCCATAACTGCAAAAGCACTTAGACTTATATACCATTTTAGAGTGCTTTACAGCCCTCTCTAAGCAGTGTACAGAGTCAGCCTATGGCCCCCAACAATTTGGGTTTTCATTTACCCACCTTGGAAGAATGGAAGGATGAGTTAACCTTGAGCCTGGTGGGATTTGAACTGCCAAATTGTAGGCAGCTGGCTGCAGCAGAAGTAGCTTGCAGTACTGCACTCTAACCACTGTGCCACAGAGGCTCTAAACTACCCAGTTGTTTGCATAATATATAGCAGGGATGTCAAACTCAATTTCATGGAGTGCTTCATCAGGGCTGTGGTTGACCTTGGGGTGGGCGGTGGGGTGAGTGTGTGTGTGTGTCTGACTGGGTGGGCATGGTACAGGTAGTTCTCGACTTACAACCTCAACTGAGCCCAAATTTTCTGTTCAGTGAAACATTTGTTAAATAAGTTTTGCTCCATTTTACAATCTTTCTTACGCCAATTGTTAAGGGAATTTGCTGCAGTTCAGAGGTGGTATTCAGCAGATTCTGACCAGTTCTGGAGAACCGGTAGCGGAAATTTTGAGTAGTTCAGAAAACCAGCAAATACCACCTCTGACTGGCCCCGCCCCCATCTGTTCTCCGCCTCCCAAGTCCCAGCTGATTGGCTGGGTCTTCTTTTGTTGTCCTGCACAGGAGAACGGAGCTGAAGAACAGGTTAGTGGGGGATGGAGGGAATGGGGATTTTGCAGTATCCTTCCCCTGCCACGCCCACCAAGCCATGCCCACAGAACTGGTAGTAAAAAAATTTGAATCCCACCACTGCTGTAGTTGTTAAATTCGTAACACAGTTGTTAAGTGAATCTGGTTTTCCCATTGACTTTGCTTTTCAACCATATCACATGACTGGTGATCACATTACCCCGGGACATGGGATATAAGTCTGTTGCCAAGTGTCTGGATGTTGACCATGTGACCATGAGGATGCTGAGTTGGGAAACAGCAGTGCAGAAGATGGCTAAATTCCTTCCTTCTGTTTACACTGTAAGTTTGGGTGGGGAATGGTTAGGGTGGATGTATTGGTGCCAACATGAACTCTGCAAGTCTACGTGAGTTGGGTAATTTAGAGTTGACTCAACTGTACTCCCCTGACTTAGTTCCTCCATAAATAACAGAACAACAGAGTTGGAAGACACTGTATCTATAGGTCATCTGTTCCTTAAGGAGGAGGCCCTATACCATTCTGAAAAGTAGTTGTCCAATATCTTCTTTGAAAGCCTCAAGTGATTAAGCACCTACAACTTCTGAAGGCAAGCTATTCAACTGGTTAATTGTTCACACTGTTAGGAAGTTTCTCCTTAATTAGGTTTCTAAAACTAAAATCTTATGGTACCTCCAGACACTTGCATAACTGGATAGCTGCATTCCTGTCAAACAGGCAACAAATGGTCAAAATAGGGAGCGCCCTATCAAATCCTGTACCTGTCAACAGTGGTGTCCCCCAAGGCAGCGTTCTAGGACCAACTCTCTTTATACTCTACATAAATGACCTCTGTGATCATATTAAGAGCAACTGCATTCTTTTCATTGATGATGTAAAGCTGTTCAACACCACAGACAATACTGCTACCCTTCAAAAAGACCCCAACTATGTGTCAGAATGGCCAAACAAGTGGCAACCTTATATCTCAACAAACAAATGCTCTGTCTTACATATTGGCAAAATAAATCAGAAAATAAAATATAAGCTGAATAGTCAAGACCTTGTTGATGACCCCCACTATGTCAAGGACCTTGGAGTACTCCTCTCTAATGATCTAAGTGCTGTAGCTACATAGCCAAAAGGCATTAAGAGTTGTTAACCTAATCCTGCGTAGCTTTTTCTCTGGTAATATCGCACTACTAACTAGAGCATAGAAAACTTTTGCTAGACCTATAATTGAATACAGCTCATCAGTCTGGAACCCGCACTACATATCAGATATTAATACAGTAGAGAAAGTCCAGAAATATTTCACAAGAAGAGTTCTCCACTCCTCTACTTGTAGCGAAATATCTTATGCCATCAGACATGAAATTTTACACCTAGACAGCCTAAAACTACACCACCTTCAGTCCGATCTAAGTATAATATATAAAATCATACATTGCAATGTCCTACCTGCAAATAAATAATTCAGTTCAACGATAACAATACAAGAGCACACAATAGATACAAACTCAGGGTTAACCTCACCAAACTTGATTGCAGGAAATATGACTTCAGCAACAGAGTGGTCAATGTCTGCAATACTCTACCTGACTCTGTGGTTTCTTCCTCAAACCCCAAAAACTTTAATCTCAGACTTTCTACTATTGACCTCAGCCCTTTTCTAAGAGGTCTGTAGGAGGTGTGCATAAGCGCACCAACGTGCCTACCATCCCTGTCCTATTGTTTCTTTTATTTTTCTTATATGTATCCATTTCATGTATTCATAACTATGTTTATACTGATACCTATTATCCTATAAGCAATTGACAAACCAAATAAAATAAAAAATAAAATAAAGGTGTCCCAAAGGTACTTTTTCAGGAGGCAACTCGACTTCCTTTTTTTTATTCTTTGAAGACATTTCGCTTCTCATCCAAGCTTCTTCAACTCTGACTGGATGGGGGAGACTTTTAGCTATACAATTTGGGATGAACATGCTTTAAATGGTGAGGGAGAATAAATGAATTTCCAGAGGAAAAATTGCAGACTACAAGAACCATTAGCACTACTCAGGTGACCCTGAAGACACAATAAACATTCAAATGCTTCAAGGACCCTTCATAAAGGACGCAAATGATCAGCTGTCTGCAAGGACTATAAATCCTTTCATTCCCCAGCATCCAGTCAGAGCTGAAGAAGCTTCTTTGATGAGAAGCAAAACGTCTTCAAATTAAAAACAAGAAAGTCCAGTTGCCTCTTGAAAAAGTACCTTTGGGATAACCATGACCTGGATGACTGAGGATCTATAGAGACTTTTAGACAGGTGATGCTTAAGATTCACTAGGAGGTCTTAGTGAGTCTACTTACTCAGAGAAGTGACTATTGGACAATGTAATTAAATAATAATAATTGTACCTATTCTGTGGCAACAAAAACTGGAACACAGGTTTATTCCAGATTGCAATTAGCTGTTCAGAAGAGCTTCTTTTACTTCTGAAATATTTCTACTGTTTGTTTACATATTTATGTTTTGCTAATCTTATAAACCTGATGTTTTGAGAATCTAAAACCCTGTCTCAAACCTCAAGTGCCATTTTAGCAACTGAAGAGTCCATCACCTCCACATTGTGGCATGTGACTGTTTGGGATGTACCTAGTTACCAGCTCCATAAAGTCAACACAGAGGAAACTTTGCACTGAGATGCAGGAAGAAGAGGAGGCTACAAGCCAAGAAAAGCATATTTTCACCATGGTTTCAAGGTATGGCCCTGCAGCATTTCAGAGGAGTTCCATTCTCCTATCTCTGTTTTGCATGAATGGCAAAAACTGGTTTATACAAAGACGGCATGCCCTGGAGAA